CCATACATGATCTATGCAAGACGTCACGAGCCGCCCCTCCCGTACCTCTTCCCGCGTGCACTCATTAATGACGCTCTGCAGGCCGCAACTACACAACACGTTTTTGTATTTATCGCTCGTTGCGTTCGCTTCTAATATGTTAATGCATTATATCACAGATTTGAATTAGATCAGTGCCATATATGTGTGAAAAAAAAAATAGAAACAGTAATAAAAACCGATTCAAATTCAATAAGAGAAAGAGACAGAGATACACTAATGAATCAAAATTAAAACTTTTAAATCCTTTTAACAAAATGAAACATCATTTTAATTAAAACCACACAATTTATTGTTATTGTGTACAAGAAATCAATGTCACCAAATCAAGGCGACCAGGTCTACTGCAGCCCTATGAGTCACGCGGCCAGTGGCATTCGAAGCTCATTAATTCTGGTCACACGTCATTCGTTGATTCATCACACGTCGGCAACGCATCTGCTTACCCCCGTTCGAGATTGAAAGCGTTGCGTTTCTTATAATATCCTATTTTGTATCAATTGAAGACAAGTTTTTCTTTTAAGTAAACATCAGTGTGTTCATTATCGTCCAGCAAAAAAATAATAACAGTGGTAGAGTTTGCTTTGACATCTTCGCACGAATGGGCCGGCTCGCCCAGTGTAATACCACGACCACACAGAAAACAGGCGTGCAGTGAAAGCAATTCCGCGTTTCATCTGATGAGTGTGGTGCCGGAGGTCTAATTTAAGTCCCTTTCCCTTTCCACCCTTTTCTTAAGAAGAAAGGATAGGAAAGAAAAGTGGATTTGACGGTAGAGGGGACGCATAGGAAGGGGAAATGTCCTCTTTATGTGTGTCTCCTCCTCCGTCAATTAAGGGTAGGCAACGCATCTGCAATTGCGGATGTTTATGGGCAGCGGTCGCTTTCCTTTTCGGTGGATTCAGGTGGTCGCTTGCTCGTTTGCATCCCTATTTTATAAAAAAAAAAACAAAGTCCACAAAAAAAAAGTGAAACAAGAGACAGGAATAAAAAGCAAATTAGGTAAAACGAAAAACAATTCTTCAACAACAAAAGTCAAC